CGGGGCCGGGGCCAGGGCCGGGGCCGGGGTCGCGTCGTGTCTGAAGTCCTGGCGAGCTGTGGCCTCAGGGTGCGGCGCCCGGGGACCGCCGCCCACCCGCCTCGTGCCCGGGGACAAGCCCGGCGCGGGAAGGCAGAGTCGCCGCTCCTCCGCGGTGCCGAGGTCCCGCCAGGAAGAGGCGGCGGCTGCGGGACGGGCGGGGAGGCTGAACAAGCCCGGCGTCCTCCTGAACTTAAGGTACTTGCAAGCAACTGCCGCGACGTTAAAGGCCTCTGGCTGTAAGTTTCGGTCTGCTTCAGGCGCCCCCGCCTCCGCCGAGGTAACGAGAATAGGAAATTCTTTGGTCTGGGCTGCTTCTTTTTTTAATCTAAATCATTTCAGAAAGTGCTGTCTGGACGATGGTTTTCAAATCCCCGAGTTGCATTGGGACATGCTTCCTTTGACCTCAGCCCCGCGGCCGCGCAGTTTGGTGCGCTCAGGCTGCCGCGGCCGGCGGAGCACAGCGGGGCCCGGGGCTGCCGGAAAGGAGACAACCCCGCGGGGACAAATGTCGAGTAGGACCAAGCACCGGCACCGTGACCAGCAGTCACGCAGTTCCCCTCTTCCACGATCAAGGCAAAGTCGGGCTTAGCGCCATGCGAGCGACCGGGCTTGATGTTTTCTCCGTATTTGGGACTGTTTGCGTGTTTTAAAAAAATCAACTCCCTCGTGTTTGAATGGTCGGGGATACCGGCTTGGCGGCGGCACCGGCCGAACCGTGCAAAACACCGGTGTAAACGGTGACTTGAATCTTGGTTCTTTCTCCCTTTATACTATTCCCAGTTTTATACTAAACTACATCGAGATTTGTTTTTCTCAGGGACACTTTGCTGTCTCTCATACCCAAACGGCATCCTAACAGGGAACGAAATTTAGCAGCGGATCCCTGACTGTGCCTTGCCAGCCGGCCTGAAAATTGATCCACAGCTGCAGCAAGAAGTAACAGAGCCGCGAGGGAGGTGAGTTACGCGTGCAGCTGCAAAAGGGATGGCGGGGGGAAGCCTGACTGCTGTAGGAGGAAAGTTCAGCCTTCAACACCCCTCTTTGTTTTCTTGTTTGTATGTGTTTGTTTTAGGCTCCGCACTGAAGAAAGAAGACGGCTGCTCTTGCCTTTCTAGATGGCACATCCTCCATTAAATCCGCCTTAAATCTGGGAGCCGTCGCGTGTGTTTGCCTGCCTTGCTCGGGGAGGTGTTTTCGTGCCTGAAAGCCTCGGCAGTGGTTGTGTGGGGTCTGCCTCCACGTCCTGACGGCTCGGTCGTGCTTTGACTGTGTGCGGCTCGCTCCTACTTGGCGTTTCTCAAAGCGGGGTAGGGAGCGCGGCAAGGGCCGGGGGAGCCTGTCACCGCGGTGCCTGCGGCGACTGTAAGGGGATCCCCGATCCCATCGGTGGTGCAGACAAAGAACGAGCGACGCGGCTTTAGGACAGCTGGGGGGGGACAACTCCCACGTGCAGTCCATGAATCTGAGCTGTCCTAGCATCTGTGAGACCTGCAGCCACGCTAGGCGCTGGCGTGGCAGTCGCACCGCGGGATAGTTAAAGGACGTCTCTGCTTTTGTGAAATAAGGACTCGTATTCATCCCACCCCCCGGGTTTCAAAGGTTTTAGTGGGCGGAACGCTGCCGGGTGCAGGCTGTGGAGCTGGGTGCGACCCTGGCGAGGCGAGCTGCTTTGCAGGGCCCCCGCAGCACAGCCGGCAACGCTGCAAACTCGCTGCACCACGTAGACGTGGAGGGCATGCGGCCCGCCACGTGCCGAAGGAGGGACGAGGGGGGGAGCGCCGGCTACTGCGCCGCGGGAGCAGGGGGCGGGGGAAAGGGCCGAGACGGGAGCATCTTCAATCCGTCTCCCGAGCTCAGGTGCGCCGTGCTCTCCGTGCCACCGCCGCCACCCCGGAGCACGGCCCCTCGCGGCCTCTGGGAGTCCTCCTCCTCCCTCCACCCGTGCACAGCCTGGGCTCGGGCTCGGGCTCGGGCTCGGGCTCGGGCTCGGGCTCGGCCGCGGCGCCAGGAGCCGCCGGAATTGCTTGCAAATGTCAGACTAACGCGCGGTCCGGCAAGGCGGCGAAAATCACGTCTGGACAGGCCGTATGTATGCCTCCGAGAGGCAGGGGAGTCGGGGTAAGGCAGCTGCGCTGAAAACCCTGAAAAGGAGCCTGTGTGTGAAGGAAATTTCCTCACAGGGAAAGAAAGAAAAAACAAACAAAAAAACCCGCTCTCTATTGCTAATATACTCTTCCTTCAGTATTAGGCTCGCCGGTGGGGGAATTGTCATTTTTTTAACTTCGACTTAGTCTTGTTTAACAAAAATGACAACGATTCCTTTATATCATTAAAAAAAATCCACTTGTGCTTAAAGCTTAGCTTCATTCATAGTATCATAGTACTTAGGGTCGAATGGACCTAAACAGATCATCAGGTCCGCCCCCCTGCCCGGTGCCGGGATCACATCACCGCAGCCTCCTCTTGAAGACCCCCAAGGTAGGAGAGAGCACCGCCTCCCTTGGGAGCAATGATCCTGGCAATGATTCAGGTGCAATGATCCTTACTGCTCTCTTTCATGCGCATGCCATGATCTTTCTGAACCTTAATGTCCTGCCGCGGGAGCTCTGAATTCAAGTGTTACTTACAGCAAGTGTTACGCAGAACCTAGTGGCACACCTGAGTGGTTTGGCTTCCTCTTCCAAAAATGCTTTTGGAAGAGAGTTTGTATTATTTACTGCTAAGTGCTGCCAATGTGCTTCTTCTGGACAGACAGGCACCTGTCCTAAAAATCTTATCTTGATGAGATTTGAAGTAGAGGAGAGGATTAGCTTAATTTCTTCCCCAGAAATAATCGAACCAAAAAAAAAAAAAGCCCCCTTGCATCTTTGGAGGTTCTCATTTCCCACCCACCTTATTTTAAGCATTGCATATTGTATAGGTTTAACTTTCAAACGATGGCCAGACACTTTCGGGCAGGAGGAGCCCTGCAGTTGTGGCGTACACAACTATCGTGATTTAAGCAGCCAGGTTTGGTCACAGGGATCCAGAGGGCCCTCAGATATCCTGTTCAAAGCGCCTCTGATGTTCTTTAAAATAAGGCGTCTAATGTCAAACGCAGGGAAAACCTCTAGGATGAGCCAGGTATCCAGGTTGTAGCCGTATTGCTCTAGAGGAAAAAGCAATCTGGGCTCATGGCAGAGGTGATGTCTTTTATTAGACCAGTAAGACTTTTGCCACCAAAAAAACACAACCCAAAAAACAAAACAAAAAAAAATCTTTAATTGCAAGCTTTGGGGCACAAACATCCTTCATCAGGGTGAACCATGGATTTTGGTGTCTTACTGCTTTATGAAAAATTTCTAGTTGGCCCGAAGACATAGTACCTTTGCTGATGAAAAAGTGCTTATAACGATTCAGGGATAAAACGGCTTTGAAGGCTAGCATTGCACGTGTGCTTACCTGCGAGGATGTTTAAGTTTGTGAAGCATTTTTAGCACTTAGTCTATTTTTCTCATTGGTACCATCTGCGGCTTATAAACTGGATAATGGACGGGGCAAAAAAAAAGCCGGGCGAAGTTGTCAGCGGTTGTTATTTATTTCCAAGGCAAGGGGCTGGTGTGATGCCATGCGCCTCCTCGTGACTTCTGGCCCTAAGGTCTTGACTCCCATGTGACTGATGTGCTCGTGCCGATAGGAAAAGGTGTCTGCCTTTCAGGAAGAAAAAGAAAGAGATGCCAGCGGTCCCAGCGGCGAGGATGTGGCTCATCAGGCGCCCTCCGCGCTGCTCTTGCAGCTCAGGGCTTTCTGGTGCCTTCCCCACCGGGGCGGGGGCGGGGGCAGTGCCCGCGCAGCCTGGGCGCTGCGGGCAGCCGCTCAGGTGCAGACATCGGCATCGCAGGGCAGAGGCGGAGCTCGGGGCTGCCTCTGCCGCCGGGGACGTTGAGCCCGGTGCGGGAAGCGAGGTGCGGCTCCTCAACTCAGCAGCGGCCGCTGCTTGGTGCGGCGGGGAGATGGTGGGGCGCAGAGGGCAGCACGGGGGAGCAAACGAGGCAGGCAGCTGCAGCGTCCCGGGAGCTGGGGAAGAGCAGCAGGAAGCGCCGTGGTCGCGCAGAAAGGGCCGGCGCGCTGGCGGGCGGGGGGAGCGCGGCAGCCGGGCCTGCCCAGCCGCTCTCTGCCTCGGCCCCTGCGCTTCAGCGGCCCCGCGGCCGGGCGGGCGGCGCTGCGGCTGCTCTCGACCCCGTTAGGCAGACTGTCCCTGCACCGGCCTCGCTGCCCGGGAGCCGGGCGCTTTCCCTCCGCCCAGCAGGCGATGAGCCGGAGCGAGCCGCAGCAAGAGCCGCCCGGAGCCTTTCCACAGGACGAGGCGCCCGACTCGCCGGCGGCTCCCGGCAATCCCAGCCGCAGCCCGGGTCTTCGCCTTTCCGAGCTACTTCCCATCGCGCTGCCCCCCGGCCTCGTTTCTCTCGGGCCCTGTGTTACCGAAGGAGGGCATTAGCCTTGAGCAGCCGATTAAAAGCGGCTTCGCTTCGTTGCACTACCGCTTCGTGTCCTCGGCCCGGCAGTAGATGAAGGTCTGGCGCTATGGCAATACCCGATGGAAATCACTGCTCCTCGGGGAGCCGGAGGTGGAAATCTCGCCTCCCTGCACGGGCCTCAGTGGGATTTCCCCCGAAGGCTGCTGTGAGCGTAGCGGGCTGGAGGCTGTCAGGGCTGGCCATCCCAGCCTTCAGCATGTTTCTTTGAGGGGCCCTGGTGTCTTCTGCAGCCTTGCCCTTATGGTAATATTAAAAGTTACAGATGTTTTGAACTGCCACTCTCCTCCAAGACCAAGCCTTTCTGTTGTGCCCTGTTCTCTTTGCTGCCCGGTCCTTTCCCCCAGATTTCTCCCGTCTTTTCAGACCTGATGAAACAAGGGTTTAAAAGATTTCCCTTGTTCTTTAAGCAGGGAGGAGAACTGCAGTAGGAGGCAAGCTAATAAGCTTTCATGTCAAAATCAAATGAGTGATTGCCCCTAATATACAGCAGGCAGATTTGAGAATTGTCTTCCCAACTCCTCAGGTTGCTGATTTCTCTTTTTCCCTTTAGCCCTCACAGCCATCACATGCTTTACAAGAGGACTTGACCTCAGGAAAGAGAGGGAAGATGTCCTCTGCCCAGCAAATTGTCCCCTATGGCAGTTCCATGTCTATGGAAATGGTGTTTATGCCTCCCTTTCTAGCATCTGTGGAGCGGCCATTCACAGGTAAGACAGATGACTAGAAAATATTTCTTGAAAAACTTGTTCTTCCACAAGTGCTAAATCCTAGATCCTACCAAACTTTGGGTTGGTAGGAGAAGGAACCTCCTACTTACTTTAGAAGAACAAAATATAATTGAATAGGAAATTCCACACTTGCAGTCTAAGGACCAGTCCTGGCAACATTTACTATTGAGAGTCACATCAAGTACAGTGAAATTTCATTGACTGCACTGGGACCATTGCAGTGAAAGCACTGGTCTGAGTAGTAATGGTTCTCACAGACCAGAACTAGTGGGATGGACATGAGACTTGGTCTCTTCTCACCCATCCCCATCTCAATAAACATTTTCTCCCTGTGTAAGTCTACAATCATTGCAAAAAATGAATTATGAGTACATCTACGTTTGTCTTCCTCTGATGGCTGCTGTGTAGAAAAATGTCATGCATCTACTCCAGTTAAGCAATAGGTAGGAGTCAGGTGTTTTGCATCTGGTTTTCAAGGTCTAGAGCTATGTTGCTGGCAAAGGATGAGTCCATTACTAAAGCAGTTTTCTTTGTTTTAAGTTTGAGGTTCTCTCTGTTGTATAAAGGATTGCATAGGCACAACTAAACATGTTTGTGACTGTTTTTGCTGACCAGTTTGCTTCCTTAAGGCTGCACATCTCCATCTACAGATTCCACGCATGTAAACACCCCTCGCTCTATCATTCATTAGGCATGCTAAATGCATTAGCAATATCAGCATCAGGAGAACAGCTCCCTTTAAAAAGAAGGGAGAGAATAACCCTCTAAAAATCTAAATGCAATTAAAACAAACAATTTTTGTTTATTCTTTCCCTATGAAAGCTTCTGTATTGACAAAATCTGAACATGGGGAAGTTTTGGATGGGAAATTTACTCTCCAAACCAAGGTTGGGCAATGGTCTAGATGCTAGCCTCCACCATATACTGAACTCTTCTTGAAGTCCTAATTTTCAGCCATTTGTGTGCACTGTAGAACTATTGTAAGAGCAATCACTTGAACCACATAGCTCTCGAGTGATTGCTTGTTAGAGTCAAATACCTAAAGTTGCAGATAAAAATTTTAAAAGGTAATAAAAAGAGCACACTATAGAGACTTTTGATGCTAGCTATTAAAAGAAAGCACTTCACAAACCAAAGGAAATTAATTTTCCTCTGAAGAGTTCTTTACCTGAATTATGAATAGGCCTAATTGATTGAGTTCAGATCAAATCTGAGTATTTATCTCCAATTCAAGGCTTAATTCTCCAGTGTTGCTCATGCCAAGTAGTGCTGACTCCTTCAAGTAGTCCTCTTTACTTCAGTGAATAAATACTATATGGCCCATTTAAGTGTGGCAGAATTTAGATCCAGATAATCCCATATATTGCAACATGTGTAAGCTTCTGTGAAAGTTTTGGTATGTTATATTAAAAAGCTTTCTTTCCTTTTGCTATGCCAAATTATTGGCAGGTTATCTTTTCTGAGGAGAAAAAAGAAGGGGGTTATATCTACCATGAGGGGAGTTAAAAAAGAATTTTCCTACAAGGATCATAATACCTGGCAGGAGGAACTGAACTGTAACTACTGAGCAGTAACTGATCCTTCAAAGTTCTTGAGCTGGTGCAATATTGACTTACACAACACTTTGCCCAAGTTGAAGATCTGACCCAATAGATACTTATTTAACTTTTACGTGTTAAACATGTCTTAGCTTCTAAAGCAGGGGTGGGCAATTATTTTGGGCAGAGGGATGCTTACTGAGTTTTGGCAAGCCATCAAGGGCCGTATGACAGGCAGGCTGGGGCAGATCAATATTAATTTTCTAAATTTTTTAGGGGTCCTGCTGGCCAGATAGACTGGTCTGGTGGCCACATCCAGCCCACAGGCCACATTTTGCCCACCCCTGTTCTAAAGTCTAGTCAGAGGTCAGCCATTGAGTCTGATCTACAACTTCCACAATTCTTATGTCACAAAAAAGTAACAGTTCTGCTACATTGGCTATAAATTATCTATAGGACAGCTTAATCACAAGGAATGTACAGATTTTCTGAGTTACTTTTGTTATCACTAAGGGAACATTGGCAGAGACTTTGTCTGGCGAGGATGACTGGACTTCTGAGCCGAGTTAGTCATTTGGGAAGCTTTGGTTCACTGCCTGCTGCTGTCAGGCCAAATGTAGCAGGGGGGCAGTGGAGGCAAAGAAAGTAGAACTTGGAGGGTAGGGAGAAGCTAGCAAAGAACCCAGCTCAGCTCAGTGCCAAAGGCACCTGTGCAGATGATCACAGCCAGGCAGACCAGCAGCATGAAGATACAGCTGGGAGGAGTGCTGTTTCAGGGGAGGGAAGAAGTAGATAAACTTTATGCAGTAACTGGAAACTAGGTCCCATCTTTTGGTCCCTATGTCCCAAAGTTGCTCATTCAGCTGTCATCCATGACTTCAGGCTCTCAGGAACAAGTATGTTTGTCCAGGAGGTTCTACCAGAAATGCAAACTGCAATTACATGCTTAAAAATACATCTCTGAGTGAGGGGCATGTCTCTTATTTGGAAATTTTCTAGCCCCACTTCCCTCACAGATAGGGAAGGAAAATCTTGATTCTGTTTTCTCTCCCTGTATAACACATGTTGACTTCCTACAGACATATACAGGACATAAAGACATGGCATGTGGGTCTGTGAGAAGTTTGCTTTTAGGCTGTAGGATTAAGTCAAAGTACATGGGGTTTTTTAAGGTGTACATTACCAGCTCTGCTTTCCTCAATTTCTGTCTTTCCTCAGAGTGGAACAATGCCCCTGGAGTAAAAGACTAATGTCTTCTTCTCTTCATGTTGACATGTTTTTTTCCCCTGTATTTTCATAGTAACATTAGTTCTGTCAATTGCATGGACAGCATTTTGGCATCATTTTGTAATCCTTAAGCAGTTTCATCAGTCTGATTATATTACTTTGACAGCAGTTAAGAGAACAGTCACTTGGCACCAACTCATAACATTTTCAAAAATAACTTGTGCGTATGCTAAGGGATCTGATGTGACTTTCATGGATCCCAAAGCACAAGAAAGTTTAACCAAAGTTTTGAGGCAAAATCGTTTTTGCCTTTTTTCAGCCAAAGACAGTATTTCCATTTCCTACTGCAGGATTTTTCTTGCTGCTCCAGCAGGTGTTAATAGGATGGTTTATTTTGAAACAATATTTAAAAAGCTAATTAATTCTCCCTCCCATATAAGTGTAGAATTGCTTTCCCCCAGCTGGAAGAACCTTATTCATCTAAGTATCACATTGAAGCTTAGCTTCCTCCTTGGAAAAAAGACATTAAGAGTCTGATAGCATCAAGTTAGCCCTTCATCACTTCTAGGCTAAGTACAGACATTTGGGAACAGTAGGGGGAGGTTAAATCAATTTAAAACAGCTGCCCAATAACAGGAAAGTCAGAATGGGGGGGTTAGCTGGGGAGTTGGGGATCCAGCAGGCTGGAAGGGATCAGGAGTCTGCCAGAGGTGGGGTGGCAGGTGTGACCCACGAAGGGTAAGGGGAGCAGGCATGACCTGCAGGTATGATGCAGGGACAGGCAAAACCCATGAGGGGCAAGGGGAGCAAGCATGACAAGTGGGTGGGATGCAGAGGGGGGTAAGCGCGACCTGTGGGTGGGTTGGGGTCCTCCCCAGAAAACCTACAGCCCCATCCCTCCCACACCTCTCCCCACCAAGGCTTTCTTGCTGAACTCTGGCAGCAGTGAACACTGATAAAAGTGGCTGCACCTGGAGCGGCTTGTGGTATGAGAGGCAAATTGATATTCATGCCATTTATCTGCGGAAGAGATGAGTCTTTAAAACTGTAGTTCTGTTTGCCCAAAGGGGTTCAAGAGGCTTTGGAAAAGACCCAATTGAGAGACTTCCATTAGTTTTGCAGAGGGTACTCCTTGTGAGACCAGAGAAGTGGTTTTTGCTGTCCTTAGCCAATATTCCCCTTCTGCATACTATGGGACAACAAGATGGGCCTCTTTGCATTTATTTAACTGGCAAGTGCTTTGGAATGAGAGGCACTGTGCAGATTAAACCGTACTTATTACTAGCAGTGCAGCTGAACAAAGGAAATGGGTGAATATCTGTGGGGCACTGCTGTCAGGCAAGTAGGGGCAGCAGCAAGAAATGTGGTGAAATGAAATGAAAGGGGTTCCTGGAAAATATATGAAGTTCCACTGTTACCAAAACAGCCCTTGGCACGTAAGATTGGCACAGGAGTAAAGCACAGTAATTTTGTGAAAACAAGTCATTTTTAATGACAGAAACTGTTTTCTTTTCTCCAGGAAAGCCATTTTTCACTGCTAAGGTCTGACACAGGCCTTCATGCAGCATGAATTTCATTATCATGAAAACAAAATTCCAAATTCATTAATACAAAAACAGAAAGATGGAAAATGTGGCTCTTTTACTTAAGCACATATCATCATTGATTCAAAAATATTGGAAGTAATAACCTAGGTAAAACTAATAAAAAGAGGTAGAAGATAATTTAATAAAATCATTTTAATTACATTGCCTAATAAAATATCAAGGGAGTGGGGAGAACAGTAATGATTTTATTTTTCTGATAAGCTTCTGTCTTTAAAAAAAAAGTCAGTTAAAAAATGCAAATGCCCAATTTTCAGTTAATAGCAAGGAGTGTTAAAAATATCTGCAAAGAACATGTACTCAAATAGATACCAATTTGGTTTATATAACATGTAAAAATAGAATTAATTTAAAAAGTGTCTAAGCTAATAGGTTTTTCTTGAATAAACAAACAGGTTAAATCTATGCTATTCTGGTTTCAGAGAAGTGATCTTCCAGTTTCAACAAAAATGAGCTTCTTTGTAAATGATTCCATGCCAATCAAAATGGAAAGTCTGTACAAAGTAGACAAGATTGGTCATCTTGTGACTAAAATAAACAAAACTTTGTCAGGAAAATTTATGATGTTGAGCCTCCAATATGAAATGTTGAAGTGAACTGGCTGATGTTATACAAATAAGACATTCAAACAAAGGAAATGAAAAGGAATACTAAGCCTTTGCCATGAACTCAGTTTCTATATCAGTAACACCAATACAAATCCAAATAACTTCACCGATATTGGAAACCAACTCTAAAATTTAACATTGGGTGCAACTTTTTGCTGCTTCAATTTTATTTTTTGTACTAGCTGCATTCTGCCATCACTAGGGCTTGAAACTTTCTGGTAATAGTTTTGACTACAACAAACAATAAGGTGCCCCTATGAACAGGAGGAACGCACCCACCCATGTTAAGTCTGGTATGTTTTTAAATAGGCTCATTTGTTATTTCCTCCAAGTTAAATCAGAACTTCCCCTTCTTGGATCAGCAGTTTTGGTTAAAACAGGAAATCACTAATCTGTGCCTTTCTCTTTTATTAAAGAAACCTGTGGTGCTCTAAAATCCTATTGCTTTTGTCAACTTTAAGTTATATTCTCTTCTCCAGTAAACCTGTGTAAATCCAGAGTAATTCTACCACAGGCCCCCTATCTACTTCTGTTGCATATGTATGCAAATGTAATTTTCCACATTATTTTATTTAGGAATGTCATTTTTTTTTTTAATTTCCTTATTTAATTTTGAAATGTCATACATGGATGCAGTGGTAGAAACATGACTTAATATGCATTGAAGAACTACACTATTGTGATATACAGATGCAGATATTAGCTATATTAGAAAATCTGTTGTAATGGGCTTGGACAGTTAGGTAGATTTTTTTTTTTCTCCCTACACAAGAGTTCAATTGGTCAACATTTGTGCTGGGGCAGCATGAGGTGCAGACCCAGGGGGAGCATAGGACTGTGATCACAACTCTTTGCCTGTGCGCCACATCCACAGTGCTTAAACTGCTGGAAACTCCACTTATCAGTCAAATAGCATAGGTGGGAAACATGTTTAACAACCATTCAAAAAGTACTTAGAAATAAAATAAAAAATCTCTTTTGCTTCCTACTAACACAAGAAGTTCCAGCCTAATGTAATTTAAAAGGGTACAGGGTGTAGAATAATATACACCCTACTGTGGAATATTGCACTTAATTATGCAAATAAGTTTTAAAAAGAAATCATCCTGCCCATGGGCAGATCCAGGAGAGGAGTGAAGTGGATGGTGAGCCATTACTTATTAACACTCTTCAATAACACCACACCAACACCATCATGAGTACTCAGTTAATTTCTTTTGTCCCACAACATTTTTATGAGCATAGAAGTTCTTGGCCTCTTTCCCCATTCCAACTGAAATTACTTGCTTCCAATCTTGTAAGATTTTCTGTTTTTTAACTGTACATGTAAAGATTTTATTTCAGAAATGGGTTGTTGTTCCATTTTAACTTGTTTCTATTTCTGTGACTCTGGGCATATCTACATGTGCAATTAATGGGCATTTACAGACATGCTCTGGGAGGTAGGGTTGAGGGGACGCTTTAATTAAAAGCGCCCAGAGCGTCGTATGCATCAGTGTCCCCGCAGTGAAAAATGGTGGCAGGATGCTTTGAACTAAAGCTCATTCAATGAGCTATAGTTCAAAAGTGCCCCGCTGCCATTTTTCAGCACAGGAACACTGATATACATGACGCTAGAGTCTGCTGGATTGCAGTAATTACAACGCTCCAGCAGACTTAATAGTCTGCTCTATCACTCTGTAATTACAGTGCATCGGAGCAGCCTCCCTCCACATGAATAGGAGCCCAGTGTGACTGGATATACTGTGGCTCAAATTGAGCCACAGTAAACTAATCCCAGTGCCACCATCTACACATGTATTTAAGCACCATAATTAACTACACTGCCAGATACCATTGTTTCTGAGGGACTATCCGGCAGCACAGTAAATTAGTCTACTGGGCCCTAATTGCTGCACACGTATAGACAGTGCAGCAAATTAATCTACTGTACAGTAAAGCTTTTCATGTAGATGTGCCCTCCCTGTATTAATTGCTTATATCTGCTCTTAAAAACTTCCCCTACTTTTCAAACTTGAAGTAATAAAAAAAAATTTAAAAACCCAAAACGTTCATATTACCTTTTCCATGGACAAGATTACTCCGTATTCATCTGAACTTTCAAAATTTCATTGTGTAATAAGATAATTAGCTGCAATTAAAATGTCTGTCTTGTAGTAATATCATTTTCTTTTATCCTAGTGGGGTGATCACAAGTACAGGAGGACCTGTAAGAGTACAAAGCCTGCCTGGGGAGGAAAATTATCCTGCTGTGTATGCCAACGGGATCCAATCTCAGGCACTCACTAGATGGGCTTCATCTTTCTCAGTGTCCAGTAGGTGGATTGCATTTATTATTCTACAAGACCTATTTGAAATGTTAACCAAAATCTTAATAGCCTTCAATCACATGTCCACATAATCAAACTAAAGGCCCATGGGAAGAAGAGTAGTTGATTTTCTCTCTCTTTTTTTTAATTGTGTGAGGAAAGTGGAGGATAAAACAAATGACTTCAACGCACTATTCTAGTTGACCTATTCAATCTGGAGCTTCAGCTGAATTGATACGAAAAAGCAGACCTTACCCTTTAACCAGTCCACTACTCTTTCAGGTGTTAAGGACTCAACAACATTCATCCTAGGGAAATGTACTAATAAGCAGTCCTGACAAAGGCGCCTAGGAAAATTTCTCTCCTTATGTTGTAAGAAACCAAACTGGTAGCTCCTAATACTGCACTGTGTTTTTTCATTTAAGGCCTTGTCTTGTTGGGTGCTCAACTCCCATAGGACTGAGCATCTTGAAGGATTAGTTCCTTAGTTAGCTGCAAAGTGATTAGGTGCCTCCTTTGGACCTCTACAGGTCATATATCTGTATAGAAACTTCTATAAATGTATGTAAAACAAGTGGAAAATATGTTGGGTAGCCCCTCAGCAACATTTTGGCAAAACATTATTGTCTTCTTTTCAAAGAATGTTCCAACAGAAGAAGGAATATTTGGTTTCTGGACTGGTTATTTTTACAGGAAGAGAAAGCCTCATTATTGTTTACATAATTTATTTTCTATTAATTAGCTCATATTTGCACCTGGTATCCATTACTAACTAAAAGGTTTGAAAAATGCTGAGACTCTTCCAGTTCAGATTCCTTACTGGGAGTCAAAGGTTCCCAATACCTCTCAGGATCAGGCCATGGATTATAACTGCATATTTGTCTTAGCTCACAGGCTGGTATTCAATTAGTCATAAATTGTATATATTTCAGAGTTGAAGGCATGTGGCAGAAAACTTGATTACTTTTTAAACACTGATGTAATTTGAATGCAGTCAGGTCCAACACACTTATCTTTTCAACATTATAGGGGTAAAGAGTGTAGCCCTTGCAGCTGCTGGACAACCAGTATCAACAGTGCGTCCCTCCACAGGTATGAAATATTTGTGTAACAGGATGTCTAATGGACATCTTCCAAAAGCATGAGGAAAGCACCATGATTTATGAATAGTGGATTGAAAGGCTGAGACTCATAGGTTATGCTTATCTTTTTAATGAAGTAATTTATACGCTGTTTTCTTTAACTAAAAGTATATAGTTTACATGCAATATCAGGAAACATTTGTAATCTGTAGGGCTGATTCTGATCTCTGGTATGTTAATCTAAATTAACACCAACTAGAGTGAATTCAATTTTATACAGGTATTTTGAGAACAGATTTATAGTTAAAGAAAACAGTTCTGTGCTCAGGTTGCTCATTTCCATTAAATAACAAGGATGATAGTGAAGGAATACTTTCTTTTTAACAGAGAGAATTTGAAAGAGAGTCTGTCAGTTCAGCTATTGCACTGCTCAGCTACTTGAGCCACTCCACTCAGTCTTCCATTCAAACATCATGGGCCAATTCCTGTCTGGGTCCTTCAGAATTACTGCTTTCACACCTCCTTCTTGGGGCTCTGTCCTCCTCCAGTCACAACTATCTCTTTTGTCTCAGCTTTTAATGCAGCAAAACTTTACCTCACTGGTAGCAATACAGCTTTGAACCACATTTACTCTGTCAAAGAAATCAATTACACTGGTTTAAAATGCTTTGTTCTTGACAAATCTAAGTTGGCTGCTGCCTCTACTTGTTTTGTCCTCTGGAGACCAGATTCTATCCCACCCTTGACTGGGGTATCCAAGTGCAATTCTATTCCATCCTTCTCAAGGGTTTGCAAAACAGTTAACAGAAAAGGTAGTTCTTCTTCCTTCTTGCTGCTTTTTTTGTGATTCACTCTTAAGGGTCAGATGATCCAAATCAATATGGATTTTCAGGCACCTGAACAGGGTGGAATTAAATCACACAGACATCCAAATCCAGTTAGGGGCCCAACAGATGGAATAGAATCTGGTCCTAGGTGCTTGTAAATTGACTGTTTAGTATTTTGTTCTAGCATCTTTCCAGGTATTGTCATTAGACTGAGTGATGATCCGCGGTCCTACTCTTCTTTCTCTTTAAAAATGGATACAACTTCTTTCTTTTTACTCCTTACCCTCCAGGAGCAGCAGCACCAATTTTCCTGTCTGTCCTGCAGTGAAATGCTGTTACTTCACGTTGTCATAACTTGACTTCCATATCCACAGTAGACATTCTTTGCTATAGACAATTTAAAGCAAAAATGGTACCCCTTTTTGCTCTTTCATTGAAAATTGTGCGCTAATAAAATAGGGTCCAATTGCAGTTAGTCCCCCACCTTCTTCCTCTATTTATACCAATCTCAGACTCCCTATTTACATCCTCCTCTATTTACACCTTTCTTAATATTTTTTAACTTAGTTTATCGTCATTTCTGTTGTTTCCTGTGAAAGATTCTTCTACATATTACTCTTTGTGTAAAGACCTTTTATTAAGTTCCTTCACAGTGAGATTGCCACAACCCTCACATAGCTATCCAAGAAATATAATTGCTCTGGTTTTGGAGAGGAGGCTGCATTACTCACTTGCTACTCCCCAGTAGGAATAGTCTTAGCTCCAGAATCTATACACTAACCAAATAGCTGGCCAGTTGTAGAGAGAGGAAGTTAGCTACTTCATGAAAAAAGGTAGAGAAATGAACTCATTTCCTATAGTAAGAGGGAAGGCAGGGGTCACAGCTGATTATCTGATCTGCTCATGAAACTGTGCAGCTGGATGTCATGCCTTAATCTGGACAGATTGCAAAATTAAAACATAACCCATACCACCTTCTTGCATTCTTTTAGCTTCAAGGCATGCCATCTTCTCTTCCATTTGTAGGTCCCTAATAATTTGTGCTGTTTCCTACATTTTAGGAAAACGACCTAAGAAACCCCTTGAGAAAAAGACTGGGAACAAAGGTAGGAATCCACATAATTAACTTGTGCAAAGCAAAATGCTAATGTTTATTTGACTTTATCTTAATCTAATTATCCTGGGTGTTTACAGACTGTAAAGCAGATATTGCTTTTCTGATTGATGGAAGCTTCAATATTGGGCAGCGTAGATTTAATTTGCAGAAGAACCTTGTTGGGAAAATATCTGTGATGCTGGGAATTGGAGCTGAAGGACCACATGTGGGTGTTATACAAGCCAGGTACCCAATTTATTTTAAGGAATATTTACAAACTGGGTGATTAATAATTAGAAACTGAAGAATATGAAAAACTATCAGCAGTAGCTTTCTTCTCAGAAATATGAAAAGCTGAGAGACATCCAACTAAAATCACTTTATAGGAAACTAGATAGCTTACATGAAGAAGTTCCTAAGGCAAAATATATTATTAATAGAATAGACTTGAACAAGGTACCTCCCATCCACTGGTATATTCAGTAGCATCCTTGTAATAATAGGAGCAATACTGAAGAATGTATTTAGCCTTTTTCATCTGAGTTAACAACTAGAAAAAGGAATCAAGCCAGCAATATTGACAGGCCCTATATCTTCATAACAATGAGCGGCCTGTGGGCCACTTTTGGTCTGTAGACCACACATCAAGGTGACAAAACCTTTCATTTCTAAATCTCCAAATTATATACAACATGGATAATGACAGTTATTATCCCTTATGGTAGTGTTTTCATATCTATGAAGAAAGTTAGTTATCTCAGTCCAGTCCTAAATAGACACGTATCCCATATACAAAGAGACAACTGTGGGAATATGTGATTAAAGTTTGACCTGATACTGGCTGTGCTGTAGAGAACAAGATTTGGGTGTCTATGCTTTCAATCCAGTTTGATTGAGTCATATAATTCACCTTAGAAAGAGAGGAAAAAGAACTCAGCAGCTGGGCCTGGGAACTCATATTCTCTCCAATTTTTTTAAGCAATACCATGAATGTTAATACAATACAAAAAATAAAGCATCTTTTGTCAAGCTACAGGTTCCAATATCCAGTATGTCTAAGGATGGATTTAAAAAACACAAATCAACTCCTTGTAATTTTCCAAAAGACACCAGCAAAATCCATTTAAATAGCAATGCAACTTCCAGCACAGTAGTGAAATCTTTTCTTAAACTTCACAGAACTACATTTAGTTCTGTGGTGATCATGATTCAAGTACTGTAGACCTGTTGTTGTGTGGTAGTAGCTTTCTAGAATGTCACAACTTTGGTATATTCTTCTGGGATATAAGTAGTAAAATCTCTGCTTTTGTCTAAAAAATGGTTCTCACCTGCAGTAATCTAGCACCCCTTCAGGAGTGTGTTGCAGGCACCACCATCACCGCTGCCGGTGCAGACAGTCCTGCGTGCAGGGCTGGGGCACATGGACATGCTCCTGCATTAGGGTTGTGCAGGGGCACCCTGACTTGAAAAAGGTTGAAAACCACTGATCTCAAAAATTAAAACATCTGTTGGATTAACAAGTGATTTCCTAGACACATTTTTCATCAAGAAAGCATGCTTTAAAATATGGCTCTTTTTTTTCTGTAGTAAAAAATGAGTAAGAGTTAAGATAATTTTCCAAGAGGTGCCTCAAGTCTAATGAAGTTGAAAACCATTGGTCTAACCTATTCTTAAAACTATACAAACAAGCTTGTTACACAACCACCAAGCATACTGCCCCAAAATACCAAGAACACCCTAAGTATTACCCTAACACATAAAGCAGGGGAACAAAGGCATCATCAATGTCCTGCCACAGCAAGGATGCAATTTGTTAAAATATACCTGAATCAAAATAATTGTTTGAATTGAAACACAGACAGGGCTCTATACAGGGTATAAAAGACATCAAAAAATTATCACAGAGCTCCCCTCCCATACAACTGCCTGTATCAAGAGCAACTCTAGTGGAATCAAAAGACTTGTATGAATATAAAACTGGGATGAGGGGAGAATCATTCCCAGAAAACAGAAGAATTATCAAATACGTATTTGCTGTCTTGGGATTATAAGGTGTTGTAGCACATTGGGGTCCCAGGGGTGGCTGTGATGTCCCCTGGTGGCTCCGTGACCATGCCCTACTCCGTCCCTAGGGCGCCTTCCCTTCTTGCCCACCCTGCCTTGATGAAATACTAGTAATAATAGGGAGGCTGCCCACAGGCCTTCACGTGGCTCCAGTCCAACTGGTCCCTTGCTGGGTTACTCTCATCTCAGGCCCCTTACTGGGCTGCTCAGGCTGATGGGGCCCTGCATAGCACCCAAAGCCTTAGGGGCTAATTACATGACTCTAACCTTTCCCTACACCATACCCCAAGCCTCATGGGCATTACACTATCATTGTTCTCCTGTTGGGTCTTCAGCCTTGTCGGCCTCTGCCCTTTTACTCTCGGCTAGGCCTTCTAGGCACCAATGGGACCTCCGTATACACCTCTTATATTCCCAACCCAAACCACCAGTATAATGGTAACATAACATAAGCCCCTGAGCTATAACATAAACAGCAATATTGGAAGCAGCCCCCTGCCCTTTTAAGAGGGCAAACCTTCCTTCACCCCTTGTGCTGGTATACCTCCCAGCGTGGGCTCCTTGTGAGCACCCTCAGCCTCACTGTTCCTGCAGGCAACAAAGTCTAGCATCCCTGGGTAGCTCTCCTGGGCAGGAGTGCCTCACCCTGTGGCTGGCAGGTCTAGACCAGCTTGCTAGCTCAAGCATTAGGCTTATATGCTCCTAGGGCCCTGCCCACTTCTGGTGGGTAGGCTGCCTGCAAGTGCCTGCTAATTGCCTCATTTGCCTGGGCAACGGGCAGCTGCTCTACCCTGCCTAGCCGGCAGTTGTCCCTCGCTGAGCTGCTTTTATCTTAAAGGAACAGGGAGCCCCAGGCTGTCTGTTAGAGGTGCTTATAGACGTACTCCAGGAGTGGGGGGTGTTTTAATATGAGTGGCGCTGAGAGCTGCTCTAATTAAAGCTCCTGGAGAGTCATGTATCAGCTGAAGGACCACATGTGGGAGTATTAGCATCCCCTCACTGAAAAATGGCAGCAGGGGTATTTTAACTAAAGCTTGTCGAACGAGCTTTAGTTAAAGTACCCCCACTGCCATTTTTCAGTGTGGGGACACTGACACATATGATACTGGAGTCTGCGGGGGTTTGGTAACTACCACGCTGTAATTACAGTACATTGGAGCAGCCTCACTGCATGTATATAGGTGCTCCTATACTCCAACATACTGACCAGAACAAGTGAAGGCATTTGCAGTTCAGCATCTTGAAGAATCAGGCCATTACTGGAAATGCAAAATGCACCCCATGGTGTTTCTTGTAACTTAAAAAATAGTTTTAGACCTTCATCCTGTATTAGGATCCTCTAGGGCAAGCTGATGCCATTCTTCAGCTATAGGGATCCATTCTAGTAGACATGATGCTGAATCAAGTCATTGAATTAATAAAAGTAGCTCTTTTGAATTGGAAATGGTATCACCTGATTCTTACAATTGATATGATATAAGTAGTTTAAGCTTTTTTCAGTCTGTCGTTCACTGTAAACTGGGAGTAATTCATTAGTGTACAGTGATTTATTTTTAAATGGTCATGTTCACAATGATATATTCATGTTTACAGTGATATAAGTAAAAATAAAATTTGTTTGCATCTAAGTATATAAAATGAAACTAAACACATTTTAAATTAACCAACCCAAAAAATCCACACCTTTACTTAACAGTCCTTACTTATCCTTGCTCTAAATCTGATTTGCTGTGCTATGTTTAAAATAGTCGCCAGCACTGCAAAAACGATCGTCTCAAATCTTTTATTATAGTAACAGTTAATAAAATTATTATACTGGAAAAAAATGGATTTCTAGATTCTGAATGAAAACAACAACCAGTTTTATTATAGTCATGCCTGGCTTTGTTCTGTTGTTTTTTTAACTGGTGTTTTTATTTTTCATGTAGTGAACATCCAAAAATTGAATTTTATTTGAAAAACTTTACTACTGCAAAAGATGTTTTGTTTGCCATAAAGGAAATAGGGTTCAGAGGAGGCAATTCTAATACAGGTGAGTACAAGCCCTGATCAAAGGAGAAATTATGTGCTTTTAGACCTACTACAAAGCAATAATCTAATTATTTTACTCTAAGACTCACAATCTAATTATTTTACGCTAATACTTACAGTGAGAACAAACTATATCCGAACATTATTCTGAATGTCACTTGAAATACTGCGTTAAAAAGCTGACCATCAAAAATTTAGTTTTTAGAAATTATTTTAATATATTACCTCAAAATACAACTGAGATAGTCATTTCCAACATTTAAATGGTAACTGAATTCTTCACTTGTAACAGCTTTGTTGCTTGAAACAAATTCATATCCTATACGATTATAATTTCATTGTCATAGAACAGATTACAGATTGGCTGAAGTAAGCAAGAGCAGAATTTTTCTCTCAATATCCACTGGAAAACACTACAGTTTACAATGATCTCAGTCCTCTCCAGTTAAAAGCAAATATCATGCAATATGATAGAAATACAGCTAATTTGGTTTATTATTTTGAGGAAATGAAGACTGCTTACATTTTGTGTTTTCCCATGCAATGTAGTGTGGAAAAAGCAACTCAACATAACTAAAAAAATGTTTTCATTTATAATCCCAACAGTACAGTCGTAAGAGTTCTGCCTGTGGAAAACTGAAATTACATACAAACATCCTTTTTACCAAATGTTCTTACTTTCTCTGTATGTGGGTGACTTTTTCAGGCTGTGATGCTCCCATCTAGGTACTTTTAGTAAAAACAATCATTTCCTTTCTGCCTGCTATAAAAAGGGGAAATCAGACTTATTAAACTAATGCAGACACTTAAAATCCCAGTTCCAACATAACTTTTCTGATTTTCTTCCTTCTCTTCAAAACTAGGAAAAGCCTTGAAGTTTACAGCTCAAAGATTCTTCTCTGTGGACAATGGATCACGCAAAGGGATTCCTAAGATCATAATAGTTTTCTTAGATGGCTGGCCCTCAGATGATTTAGAAGAAGCTGGTATAGTGGCCAGAGAATTTGGTATCAATGTATTCATTGTGTCTGTAGCAAAACCCACGCCTGAAGAGCTGGGAATGGTTCAAGATATTGGCTTTGTTGACAAAGTAAGCAACATATTTTTTATATTATTTAGTTTCCAATTGTGGGTGTTACATATTCCAAATGACAAAAAATACTGAATTCCACATGAAGGCACCCAGGTTTCTGCTACTGGACTTGTTCAAAACCAAATAAAAGCTGACACAGCCCCACAGGTCAGAGCCTAGCTCTGGCCAACCCCAGGGGCCACTGAATGGGATTCTCAAGGTAAGAGTTCTCCACCTACTGTAGCAGCCTAGCCCCATCCCTCTAAGCATCTCTGCACCACCTGTTTCCAGGTATTTGTCCTCCCATTACTAAATTATATAGTGGTTGTAACACTTAACTAAGATCTGGAAGACCCATGTTCAAGTGCCTAATTAACAGCTAATTTATGTAAAGAGTGAAATAGCTCCACCAGGACAGAGGGAGAAAGACCCAGCCTGAAAAATCCAAGGGCTTGCTGGGCAGGGCATTCTCTGGAAATGTAGGTTTTAATTTAACTTCTGGCTATCTTAGGATGCTCCTAGCACAGCTGGGTTCCTTAAAGTTCCAGCTCTGCTCAGACATTATATAGGGAGCCTGGGCCCATAACTTAGGGCTGAATCAGCTACCATCAGAAGCCATGTCCAGACGAGTGCGGATGTGCGGTATGTGGTGCTGCAGACACGTCCAGGAGAGAGACACAGTATGATTAAGGAAGTGGGCCTAGATTTCTACCAGACTGATGACTAAATAGAAGGAATTAGACATCTGACTGTATGTTGTATCCACAATTCATGCTCCATAGAGGACAGTGTTGTAAAATTAGAAGCTGTCACCAAAAATTATACATTTACATTTTAAAGCTAAATATAGAACTCTCAATGCTTTAGATTAGTTAGCCCTTTAATTTAATATTTGAATAATGCAGTTAGAAATTCCAGCTTTTATCCTTTACATTTATATGAATATTGCAAAAATACCTACCTTAGAACCCATAGGAACAATGGGGCGGGGTTGAAATTTGACATGAAAGGTATGTCTATACTTAGTTCCACCGCCAGATCCACAACTTCAGCCCCAATTTGCCAGACAGCCTTATCACAAACCTCTTAGCTCAGACTATGCTGCCCCCAATCTTCCCCTGGTCTGGCTGTACCTTGCAGTGTTTTCAATAATTACCAGAGTACCATGAATCTATTCTTAAGGCCCAGTTTTGGGTGAGGAGGAGTGCACAGCTTCAGTCAACTCAAGCTGAATTTCTTGATGCATCTCTTTTCTGAAAAATATCAGAGTCCAAATAATTGTCATGCTTTGAAATAAAACATTTACATATGTTTTTTGATTGTGCATTCACCAAAAGGCTCTTTTTTGTTTTGCTTCGCTAAACAGGCTGTCTGTCGGAACAATGGCTTCTTCTCTTACCAAATACCCACCTGGTTTGGTACTACTAAATATGTAAAACCCCTTGCGCAGAAGTTGTGCACTCATGAGCAAATGTTGTGCAGCAAGACCTGCTATAATTCTATCAACATAGCTTTTTTGATAGATGGGTCTAGTAGTGTTGGAGACAGCAACTTCGCCCTTATGCTTGAATTCATCAGTAATGTTGCTAAAGCCTTTGAGATCTCCGACATTGGCTCCAGAATTGCAGCTGTGCAGTTTACCTACGATCAACGTAGTGAATTCATTTTCAGTGACTACACCACAAAAGAAAAGGTTCTCACTGCAATCCGGAACATACGTTACATGAGTGGTGGTACTGCTACTGGGGAAGCCATTTCTTTCACAAACAAAAATGTGTTTGAACCAGTAAAGAATGGACCCAACAAAAACTTCCTTGTTATTTTGACTGATGGTCAGTCTTATGATGATGTAAGAGGGCCTGCAGCCGCTGCACACAAAGCAGGTAAATGATACACCTATGGAGATAAAGCTACCTGTCTAGTATCTTTTCTTGCAGAGATTTCAGCCAAATTTGTGACTATTAATTCTCATTTTACCACAGAAAGTTACTTAGGTATTGTTGCACCTTTTGTTCAAACTATTAGTCCAGACTTTTGGAGCCCTGAAAGGTTGTTTGTATGAAGATGAGAAACCAGAGATACGAGTGGCATATAATCTGGATATAATTGTATTAATTCACAAAAATGCGCATGTGAGCTCTCGTGTCCATAGACATGAGAATAGCAAACAGTCACAGGCTATTTCCTTGCATGAAAATCTCCAGCTTTGCAACTCTTGAAAGTGCTGGTCTCAAGAAGTTCTGTCTTGATGCTTCATCTCAGGGCTGTTTACTCTACAGGAAGGAATTCAAGTATTCCTTCTCTTGGGCCTAAAAACACATGTGGTATATCTCCATGGTTTTAACAGGGTCTCTGATTTTTTTTGGATTCAAGACTCCCTCAACGGCAACTATTAGCACCTTTCAGCATAATATTTAAACTGTATATTCCAAATTAGAAAGATGAGATTGACCAGTAGAAGTCACAGAATTTAAGACTAGAGCTGATGTTTCCTGGTTCCTAGCTCAGCACGCACTGAACACTCGATAATCCTACCCATTTAAAAATATATATATACAGGACTCTTCTAAAGAGAATTACCTGATTCTGTCAAAATTGTATGAACCAAATATCCTATTTGCAAACTGAAAAGTTTTCAAACTCCTGTCATCAGAACTTCATCTGATAAAAACATTTTATGTTTTCCTATTAGTTGCTCTTTAGATCTTTCCTTCTTCCATTACTGACAATTGAAACATTTTGTAATTTAACTTATATAAGCTAATCAACTTATTTAAAAAAAAAATCAAATCTAAAAGATCATGATAAACTCCAGTTAGAAGATTATCTATTCTTAAATTTGAGCTGATCATCATTATCATCATCATTCTTTAAGGAAGACAATTACAATTAGAGGTTTTGGCCAAAAATGTTCTTGAGCTGCTGTCACTTGAATACAATAGTGATTCATTGTTACTTTCCATAAAATATTTTGACAAACCAATTAATCCAACAGGTTGGATTCCTATTCCTGATGTGCAATCACACTACTTAATTGTGTCACTACTGTCTTCATGCACAGCATTGTATAAAAATATCCTTATAGGTTACCCCATGGTTTCACCAGGCTTCTTACTGAAAGCAGGCATTCAGGGCCTGGTGCTGCTACTTCTGCTGCTCTGGTGCTCAGTGATGAAAGTCACATCTATGAAAGTTATTTTCTTTTTATTTACAAATATCTCAGGTTTACAAATTGTCTCTTACTCTGTTCTAGGTATTACAGTTTTCTCCATTGGTATTGCTTGGGCACCACTGGATGATCTGAAAGCCATGGCCTCTGAACCGAGAGATACTCATACTTTCTTCACAAGAGAGTTTACAGGATTGGAGCAGATTGTTACTGATGTTACTAGAGGCATTTGTAGAGATTTCTTGGACTCTAATCAGTAAAGGAGAACCTGTTGGATATTACTACTTCAAAACTAAATCAGGAAAGCTGAGAATGTCTCTCTAAAGTGCAAATGTTCCATTCTTTTAATATGCAATCATAATGTGTTTGAATAAGTTGCAAAGGCTGCCTTCTGCTTTCTGTATTCAAACAAAGCTTCCATTTAACAAGTTGTGTTTAATTAAGGATTGCAGAATTTGGCCAAAGGTTACCATTTTAAATATACATTTAACATCCCAGAATTTAAATTTAAAGCTATGCATATGTTACACTTACAAGATATCAGCCGTATAGAGAAATAGATAATAATTTAGTTCTCACATTAATGTACTGTCATTTACCAGATGTCACCTCATAAATGAAAATAACGTTAAACATATAACACAACAACTTTTATAGGATCTATACAAATTAAGATACTACATTTATTCCAGGAGGCGCTGTTAGTATTGTAATGAAAGGACTAGCCTGTGAATCTGTTGTTTTCACGGAAATATTTTCATTATCAGGTGTGCAGCAACAACTATTACCTTAAAACTTAGCATTTGAGTCAGTTCTGATTGATCCAAACAAACCCGGGAGTGGCAGACTTTACATACATAGGTTGTCTCTGGAATGAATGGCAATTAATTCAAATTAGCTTCCATTTTCCTGGGAAAAATATGTCAAGACACTTCCCAGGTACTTAAAATGGGACAATGGATTTGCACTTCCATGGAATCCCAAGATAAAAGAGTTGATTCAGGGTGAAATTTGACCTCCATTTTACCCATCATGTAGTTTCTAATGTGATGTGTGTCAGATCTTTTAGGCCTTATCACCTTGGCAAAATGTCTTCCAACTGCTATTCAATGTTAAATTTCCAGTAAATTCAAAAGGTCTGATTTTTCTTCTCTACCTTGCTTGTTGGACAGTCATTTAAATATGGGTTGAAAATGCTAGTATGCTTAGTAGTGTTTACACGGACTTTTTTAGAGGTGTAAATGATGCAAAGTTCAAGGCACAGAACTAGGGCCAAAGCAATTATATTCACCCTTCAAATGGGAGTTGAGGACATTAAGACTGAAAACCAAAAGTAGCTCAGATGACCAGCTTTAATTTGCCTACAGCAGTTTACCAAAGCCAATAGAGAGGACTGTAAGTAGGAAGAGAGAGAGATAGGACATGATGACCAGCAAATGATTACTTTTGCAGCAGCTGTTTGATATCAGTTATAACATCTTTAAGCCCTTACTAGTGTGGGTTGTTAAACATGAAAATAGTTCTTGAACATCTCTTCCATTTGCTTACACCTATACATGTACATGTCTTTGAGATTAAAATTAGCAATTCACTGCAAGAGGTGTTCAGACATCTGAAACTAACAGTACATTTTGATTGAAGTATTTTTGGATAACCCAGTTTATTTCAGGTAAGATTCTGTTAACAAAACAGCACTTTCCTGTTTAAATATCAGTCTGGGGTTTCTTTTATTTCTTTCAGTTTGTGCTATTGGTTGTACAATTCTAACTAGATATGAATGGTACAGAAGGGATGATATTTATCAGGCTTTTTGTAGTGTATTTTTTTTAATAACTTATGACTGGCAATATATTACACTAAACATGAATGGCAAGGATGCCTTGTATTTTTCTATGATTGTTATCCTTAATTTTATGTGTGTTTTTAGATGTGGTTTTTAGCTATTGCTGTAAGAATCAGCCACATATTCAGAGACAATATCAACATTGTGCAGACTATAAAAGTTTTGCCCAGTTAGCTTTAACTTTTTTATATGAAAATACACATATTGCAAGTACATTTTTAGACTGGGACAGCAGATAGGTATTACTATTCTGTAATGCAAAATCATTCTGTGATGAGATAAACCTCCTGTAGTACAGATCAGATATGTCAATAAAGCAAACAATGTAAAGAATGCAAGTATCAGCATTGTTTTTCATTACTGAATTGCAAAGAAAAAAGTTAAAGTATCCTAACAACTCCTGCTGGTTCTGTGATTTTTATTTTTACCCTAAAATGCCTGTTATATCAATACTCCATATTAAATATGATAGTAATTTAATTATCTGACTATAGATACATCAACCAGCTACTGAATTCATAGTTATTTTCCTCTGAATTGGTCTTGGAGGTAGTGCTGAGGACATCTAGACTTATAGTTTTGGAGGACTTCAACATGTTTTGCTCTGTTTGTTTTTTGTTTTTTTTTTTATTATTGAGAGAGAACTTCAGTGATTTGAAGACTAATCTCTCAAAACAAAAAATAGGACAGTTTGGATTCTTGAAACAAGGAAATATTTGGGAATAAATATTGTAATTTTGTCATATAGGGTCATAGTCATGTTGTCTGTGCTTCTGCTCAGTGTTGTTCTAGTTTTAGATAAGACGACGCAGGCAAGAATCCTTGTGCTCTGTCTATACCAATGGTTCCACCAGCTGCACATTTGCTTCAGCAGAAATATTCAGGGCAGCGCACAAAAGCTAAAGGAATAGGTTATTCACATACCTCAACAAAATCAAAATGTGGAGAGTGCAGGCAACTTGGATGAACTTGCAGTGGGAGAATTAATAAGCGCTGCCAGTGTAGATGCAGCCAATGAGGACAAATTGCAGCCTTAGTACAGTCCAACCATTTTCAGCTCAGTGGGGGCAAAAAATCTTAAGATATGCGTATAAGGCAAAAGTTGTAAGCACCACTTTTGGATGTTATAGGTGCAGAATAAGGGCAGAATTCCTGGATGGCTGGGTATTTACAGCCTGTTGCCCTGTCTTTCTCCTCCTCTGTCCTCATTGGCATCGTAGCCAAGGGAACCCTGATCTGTTGCTGATGCTGGTAAATGCTAGGTCAGTGGTTAATACAGGGGTGGGCAATTATTGGGCAGAAGGCCACTTAATGAGTTTTGTCAAGCTGTCGAGGGCCACATGGGTAGCTCTGTTCTTTCAGTTGCCCCACCGCCTGGTTGCCATCTTGGGACCGGAAGTCCCACCCCCTAACCCCTGAGCTTTGCCACTGGAAGTCCCCCCCCTTGCCCCTGAAAGTACTCCTTTTGGAGAGGTGGCCTTGGAACCTGACCCCTCCCACAAGCAAGGACCCAGCCCACCCTGTCAGGCCCCAGGCATCAAAAGCTGGCCAACCGCCCCACCCATCAATGGTGCCAGCATGACCTGGTCCTGACCCATCCCATCCGAGCCACCACCCCCCCAGCACAGCGGAAGCCAGCCCAGGCCCAGGTCCCCTCACCAGCATGGCACCCTCCGGTGCTGTAGGACCCCTCCTGTCCCAAGCCTTAGGGGTCCTAGCCACAGCTTTCCCTCCCCAGTGCAGTCTGGCCAGCCCATCCTGTCCCCTATCAAGTGGTGGCTTCCCCACATGCTGCTTCCCCACATGCTGCTGACCTCCTACCTGTGCCAGCTGGTCCCAAAAGGCAGGAGGCTCCACTGCTGCTTCTGCTGGCCAGCGCCGACACGGCTGGGCCCTGTCCCCAGCAGCACGTGGGAAGCTGGCTTCAGCTGCATGCTGCTCTGGATATGGTCTAAACTCTTGTCTGGCCGACTAAGTACACAAGTTGTCTAGAACCTGGCCTAGAAATGCACAGTATGGTGAAGCAAAACACCTTTGATGCCAGTGGATCCCATTTCAACCTCAGCAAGGCACAACTCTGTCTTGGAAAAATGTTGTAACGTAATTATTTTCATCCTGGTCACCAACAGGGATTAACCCCCAAACTCATAGAACTGAAGAAGTGAAAAGGCTTGAATTGAAGCCCCTAAGGGCCAGATTCTCTAAGCATGCTGCTCTGGATGGGATGGACCCAGCTGGGTCAGCACCGGCCAGGAAAAGTGGCATGCAGCTGAAGCCGGTTTCCCACGTGCTGCTCAGGATGGGAGGAGCAGCATGTGGGAAACCGGGCCAGCACCAGGCAGCAGAAGCGGCAGTGGAGTCGTGTGCCACTCGGGATTGACCTGTGCAGGCAGGGGGGAAATGCAGCTGAGACCCTGCCACTCCAGCTGGGCTTGTCCCGTCCCAAGCGGCACACAGCTCCACCACCACTTCTGCTGGCCAGTGCAGACCTGGCTGGGCTCATCCTATCCCCAGCAGCATGTGGGAAGCCGGCTTCAGCTGCATGCTGCTCTGGATGGGATGGACCCAGCCGGGTCAGCCCTGGCCAGGAAAAGCAGCTTTCCCTCTGGCTTCTCTGTTCCCCCTGCCAAAAGACTGGGCACCTGCCTTTTCAGCATGCTTCATGTTTGGTCTGCTGTAAAATGTGCATCTCTGTGTGTATATGTGTAGTGCTTTCCTACACAGTGATGAGACACTGCCAGGCAAAGCACAGCTTTCTTTTTGTTTGGGGTGAAAAAAATAACAAGAATAAATAACAGGATTTTGGGGGAAGAAATATTTGAAAGGGATTAACAGTAGAGATGGTAGGCAAGGGTAAGTGGGAAAATGGCTAATGGCTGGCTACAACTTGGTAGCAGCAGCCTACCTACTACTACCAGCCTAGACCCTTCAGATGCTGTGCTCTGCTGCTCATGCTGCAAGAGACAGATCTCACAAAAGGCAGAGAGCTGCTCACAAACAGCCTTATATGTTCTTTCTCTGTCCCTCCCCCAGAGCTCCGGGACTGGAAGGGACCTAAGGGACAGATGTCAATATCAAAGCAGCCCTTCCCCCCACACTCTTCTGAGTTTGTTTCCCCGCACGCCTGCCTCCAAAACATCTGAAGCATTTTGGATGGTTCTGTTTCATTTTGTAGATGTTTCAAACCCTTCCATTCTGATTCAGATTTGATGTTTTGGATGCCAAAACGGGCTGAAACACTTCCGAAACAAAACGACTGCTGAAGTTTTGCACAGCCCTAATACATATGTATTTTAAAAAACCAAATTCCTACCCCACAATGTGCCAATGCAGTGCTGTCTGATTATGAAAAAAAAAATACTGTCAAGCTTGTTTCACTGTCTGCAGCCCCACACAGCATGTGGACATGGGCAGTTGCCCTATATTCCCCACCAAAAGCTGACTCTGCCTACTGGCCATATCATGCCACACCTGGTCAGAAAGAAAAACTGTAGAATGTTGCAGTAATTTCCTTCTTGGTTGGCACATCAGAGGAACAGAATTACTATTACAAGCAATTTCCCATTTTTTGGGTTTGTTCAGAAAAATGCATGCTTTTTTCTCTATCTCTTCCATGGGAAGAGGCAAAATCTATATTTATCCTGTGAAGACTTCCTTGTTTTTGATGAGCAAGATTACATACCCAAGGTAACTCTTATAACCAAAGGCACCGAGATAGTCTAAGTGTATTAAAAAACGTTATTACTCTGATTGTCTTTTCCCAGCAAGACTTCTTTTTGATCTGCTTAGGTGCTAGCTCTGAGATCACCATGGTTTAAAACAAATGTTTTTCAAGTGTTTCCTTAGTGCCTGTTTCTTAGTTTAGGGAATCACCTCTGTGTTTGAGATGACACGCTTGGGATATATTTTCTCTTGCACATGGTATTTCTATCAGCAGCTTTCCCAAGTGCTTTACCAAAGAGGTGCTGCTCACTGCCCTGTCATTTGTTACAGGTGGAGCAATAGGGAAGTGAAGTGATTTGCCCAAGTTTACTTAACAGGTCAGCTGGGAATAGAGCTCTGTTTTCCCAAGTCCCAGCCCACTGCTCTATCTACTAGACCAAGCTGCCTCTCTGATAAGCTTCATACTGTTAGCTAGGTTTAAAATCATAATGCCATGCACTTAGGTTCTTCAGTTATTTAATGTAGTAAAATGATACATTCTCCTCCCTCAGTAAAGTTACAGCTCCTTCTATTTGGTTAACTAGCATTTCAGATCTAAAAGGCATATTATTGAGTTGAGTTCTGACAGCAGGAATTTGTCCCCACTGACTTCTTTCAGGGCATCTAACATTCTTTCTAGCAATTTTTTTCACTATGTCTAAATTTTTATTAACAAGAAGTTTCTATGTTTTGAAAATGTTGGAATTAACATTTGGCAAAACCATTAGTTTGCTGTGTGTCACAGTTTTATTGTCACAGGGTTGCTACTGTCTGATCTTCCAAGTATTTTCAAATTGCTTGTATGATAGGACAGGAATAAATAAAATAGCATGATTAATTTGTTTTTGGATCCACTTGCAGGCAGAAATAAAAAAGGTTTACAGTAATCCGAACAAAGGCTTGATAAATTTCCCATAAGGAAGAGAAATGACACAATCAAAAATATTTATCTGATTGCTTAGAAGAGAGCCATAAACTTAATCTTAATTAGGCTGAACTGTTTTGAAATTCATCCTTGGTCATTTCTTCCTCACCAGGAACGAAACTTAAGTTATCATACATTTCAAAATGTTAAAGGCCTAATCTTCCTTCTGCTGAAACCAGTAGTGACATTCACATTGAAGTTAAGAAGAATGTTTGTTCCCCCTGACAGCAGTAAGTAGCCAGAAAATTATTCACAGTTATATCACAAAGTGTTGGAAGAGGTTTCTGTGTGTGGCTATATCTGGAAGACAATCAGTTGTGAACTATTCAAACAGAACCTTCTGCAGCTCCTTGGAAAATTTGTCTTTGTAGATGTTTACTGTCTAAGGTCTGATCCAAAACCCATTGGATTTAGTAGGAGGTTTTGTCTTGATTCCACTGGACTTTGGATTTGTGCCTGAAGTCTCAAAATAGTTCCTATTCGTGATTTCTGTTTGTTTTGTATGGAAATTAGATTACATCTTCAATGGCATTAGATTGTAAAAGAGGGTGTATGTAGTTTTTATAGCATCATTTAATTCCATCGCTAAACTGTTAGATTCAGAGTGTTCCAATAAGAAGAAAATTACTTTAGCGAACCAAAACCTCTTTGTAATTAATAAATTAATGTTAGTGGAGCTTTGCATAGACAAAAGAGTCCCTCTGCACCCCAATGATGAATACACTGTAGAAAAAGGGCCCTTGGGAAACAGGGCTTTAAAACTGGCACTAGT